TACTCTGTGCACAAGGCTCAAACTCAAAACTTTATTTAAAAAAAACAAGCGTCGAACCACTTAAACCAATCATCATTGGTTAATCATGCATGTAATATATTTACAAGTAATGCCATGCAAACAAAGATTTAATATAAAATTTCCATACAAACATATGTCATGTTTTTTTATTAATTATTTACTGACATATAAATTTGTATGTAAATTTAACATATAAAAAATGTTCTTGCATTGTTTTCATATATAAAATTCAAGAAAAAAAATCTTAAAAAGTATGAAATCCAAACCTAATTTCATCACAAACAAAATTCCAACCCAGTCCCTGTATTTTTTTTTTTGGCAATATATCCACAAGATACGTGAAACTAAAATTCTCTTTCCAGGTTTACAGAGTGGTCCATGAAATCTCAGTTATTGAATAATGATCACATAGATTGAATGAAGAATTGATCCACTCACTTTTATTTATTCATTTCCTTTTAATGTATAAATCTTTTTTTCCTGGTATCATTTATGAGTACTTTCTTTTCAAATTAATAATAAAGATAAAAATTAGTTTAAGAAAACAGGAAAAATAGAAAACAGTAAAAATAGACAACCAATAAGAATTTACTAGTTTTCTATGTAAACAAACACATAATCCTTTGAGCTTGCTGTCTTTGGAAAACCCAAGAAAGAAAAGTGAAGCTAACACCCATTCTCGTAGATGAGAGTGGGACTTTAGGAAATAAAAACTTGATCTCCAAGCAAGAAAATAGAGACTAATTTCATAATTCGATTGAAATTTTAAAAAATTAATCATAACAATCATCTAGTAGGTGGTCTATAATAGACAACCAATAAGAATTTACTAGTTTTCTATGCAAACAGACACGTGACCCTTTGAGCTTGTTGCCTTTGGAAAATCCAAGGAAGAAAAGTGAAGCTAACACCCATTCTCAAAGATGAGAGTAGGACTTTAGGAAATAAAAACTTGATCTTCGAGCAAGAAAATGGAGAATAATTTCATAACTCAATTGAAATTTTAAAAAATTAATCATAACAATCATCTAGTAGATGGTCCAGTGGTAAGAACTTGAGATCAAGAAATTTGTTTTTCTTGTCTCAAGTTTGAGTCCTGTGGTTGCTAATATAATGACCACTATAGACTTACATGATCATTAACTTAAAAGTTCGTGGAATTAATCAAGATGCAAGTATATTGGCCTGAAAATTCATATTAATAAAAAAAAATCATAGTAAAATCATGGTTTTATTAATGGTTGAGAGGCTCTTCAACACCTAAAACTCTCACGTGTCAAAACCACAAAAAAAATCAAACCCAATTATGTTTGAAATTATATCCTTTTTCAGGGTAATACTCCAGTTATCTCATAAATTGATTACTCCAAAAGAGTCATGAAAAGGTATAACAAGTATATCTTATCTCTATATAAAATCTTAAAATATAATTTATAATATTTTTTAATATATTTTATTAACTTGTATAAATTTACACTGTTTTATATTATTAAATAGAAAAGAAAATAAATGTGATGATGTTTAAACTCATGATTGTTAAGTTATTTAGATTTTGATAATATGTGAAAGAATTATTTTAATTAAAAAACTTAAATTGTTAAGTGAGAGTTCAATATACAATTTATATTATTTTTCAAATCATAAAAAACATAAAAATCATAAAATCAATCAATTAATTAAACCAATCTAAGCTCTTAATACTATCACAAGAACACAGTAGCAACATCAAAGCTTGTGAAAATCATAGAATAACCATCTAGTAGACGGTCCAATGATAATAGTTTGGAACCAGGAGATTTGCTCTCCTTATGGTTTTAAGTTCAAGCCATATGATTGCTAATATGATAATCACTAAAAGTTTACATGATCGTTAATTTTAGAACTTGTGAGATTAGTAAAGGTGAATAAAAAATAATCCAAACATTTATATTAACCAAAAAAAAATCATAAAGGAGAGGCACTTGCAAAATCTTTTGATGGTAAACAACGAGTGTGAGATGAGATGAGATAAACAGTGATCACCACACCATATTTAAAATACACAACAAGTCAAATGCTAGATAAGATAAGTAATAATAATCACATATCCTATTCACTATTCAACATCTCTATTTTTTTCATTATTAAGGTGTATTTAGTGAAGTGATAATGATTTGGTTGAAAAATATTTTTATGTATAAATATATTAAAATAATATTTTTTATATTTTAAAATTATTTTTAATACCAGTATATTAAAACAATTTAAATATATAAAAAAATATTTTTTAAAAAAAATTAGAGTAATGCAATTTGAATTTCATTACTAAACCTACTCTTGTTTTTTTTTGGTAATTATGAGTGTCCAATCTAACTTACATACACCTTAACTAATTTCTCGAGACCTTAAAATTAATAACCACATAAGCTTTCAGCTGTTCCTATGCTTGGTACTCAAACTAATGACTTTTAAAAAATAAACTTAAAACCTAAATAGTTAAACTATATCTCTCAAGATTCAAGACTTACTAGAGTGTGTTTGGTAGTGTGGTTGTTTTTTAAAGTGTATTTTTATTTAAAAATATATCAAAATAATATTTTTTATGTTTTTAAAAATATTTTTAACATCAGTATATTAAAATAATCTAAAAATATTAATTCAAAGTAATGAAAAAATTAAAAAAAATTCAAATTTTTTCAAAAATATTTTTAAAATTCAAAAACAAATAAGGAATTAATCCGGTACAGGACCCAACTTTCTTCCACGTGATAGATGGTATACGGGCTTTAAGAGTTAGTTTGACCACGACAATGGCTACGACCTGGGGAAAAAGGAGAGTGGTTAGAAAAACAAAGTATGCATCCATAATAAATGTGCCTTATCAATGCATGGACAGAAGGGAAGTAATGAATGTCACGAGGAGACGTTTCAGAAGTTGTTGCGGTCGCCGGTGGATGGTATTTTTCAATTTGTTTTATAATTGAAAATATTTTAAATTAATATTTTTATTTTAATCACTAAAATTATTAAAATAAATTAATTAATTAATTTAATGCTCTTCTAAATAAAAAATAGCTTGTATTATTGATTCTTACAAGAAAGCATGTTTTTCTTTTTAGGGGGGGGTGTTAACTGGGTCTTCCTAATTTTGTACTAGGAAGATATTCTCAAACGATTTTTTCAAACGATATTAATTACATAACATTTATAGTATATACGTTTCGAGAAATTTAATAAGCTTTTTTAGCTATGAACTTGAAGGTTTCAAACTTGGACAGTCGAGGAAGAAAACAAACTTCCCCACCTAAAACGACACCCCATTTGATTTATATTATCTTTCCAAATTATTGTTTATAATATGATCCTCTCAATTTCTTTTTCTTTCGTATAATTTTCTTATTTATATCTTTCTTTTGTTTCTTCTGCACATTAATTCTCTAGAAAAGCATTTAAATCAATTCATAACCAAACTATCAAGACTTCTCCTAAACGGGTCATGAAGATTCTTTTGGATACTTTTACAAGAAATCTCTAGTGTTTTTCAGTGGGTTTGAAATTATGGTATAAAATATTTTTTTAGTTGAATTTTTATTTTGTTTGCATTATAGTGTATTAAAATCATTAAAAAAAACTAAAAAAATATCAATTTAATGCTTTTTCAGATTAAATTTACATTTTTAAAAGGCACCAAAATACAATTTTAAACACAAAAACAAATCGTTGAGAGCAAATTTACTAACCTCATAAGCTGTTACTTATCTGGGAGTGGTATGTTTTTGGAGCCCTTTATACCTTCCCAGAGAGAGTAAGCAAAAGACCAAATATTTCAGCATATGCTCAGCTGCATTATTTCTATGTACTGCAATGACTTGGGGATGTAGAACTGGTTTAAAAAGGTAGCACTCTCATAATTCTTGACTAGAAAAGTACTCAAATCTTCGAGCCAGATAATCGAATAAGAACCAGCTCACAAAGGGCCAATCAGAAGAGGAGTGCAAGGCCTCGGTGGAGAATTGGGAATAAAAGGAAACCAAACACACATGAAAAAAGGAAAATTTGGTAAATGAGATCAGCTTTACCGACTCATGAGCATATTTCTCCACTGTTACGTGAAAACAACACCTGGTACATTATGTGGAAAGAAAAGACTCATGGGTCACACATCAGAGGAGAAAAATATCTCACTTATGGGGGTTCTCCTGAAATCATCATGTAACAAAATGGTAGGACCCGGTAGTCCTGTTTCAAGATCATGCAAGCAACTTTGGAAGTTCAATCATTTCCCCGTGCAGCAGGGAAGATGGCTGTTGAACATGGACAAGGATGAAAGCTAGAGACGTGTGGTTCGGTTTAGGCAACAGTGATACTTCATGTCCATCACTTGTGGTTTAGCTGAATCAAGTTGTTCTCAAAGCCCTGTGCTTTGATTTCTAATCTAGGAGGAGATCCATAAACCTGGATTTTACTTCGGAACCTCACAGTTTTAGAGCCGTGGTCAACAAAATGTAAGCAAGAATTTGATGTCAGTGGGTGGAAATCAAACTAAGAATTAATGACAAATTGAATGATAGAGGTCGTTCATTTTTGTAAGAAGAGCTGTTGCGAATCTTTCAATTTCATGGAGCATTTGACCAGTTAGCTGAGAATCGATTGACCATGATATCTTCTTTTCAAAGTTTCTCTTCATTTTTATTTTTCACTGACGAGGACAAGGAAACTTGCAGTAGCTCAAACCTAGTTTCAGTTGAAATTTCTGCGAGTATCAGTGGGAATCGAAGGGGGGGGAAATTCCTTCATATGAAAAACTTGCTCCAAGAATACGCAAGAAATCAATTGCAAATGACAACGACCCACAATGCTTGCAGAGGGGATGGGCTGCCCTGTAAAACGCCAACCACATTCTAGGCAATATTTGCAGGAAAATCAATAATCATTGAAGATGAATAGACGTCTACGGAAGCTTATTGGCTTCAGATAGACATGCTCAGGAACAAACGGAATGTAAAAAAACTGCAGGAACTTGATCAAATTCATAAATCCAAATGGTAAACTATAACAACATGGCCACAGTATGATGGCCTTAACATGAGATTCGTTTCATCTCACAAACTCAAGTGATTTTAACTTTTTCATGCAAGTGATCCATCAACATACCACATCAAATTAACCCCTCTTAACTTATTATGCAAACACTAGAAGAAACCAGACAGCTGAAATCATTGTGTTTATGTACAAAAACTCGGAAATGAAGCTTCAAGACATGTGAAATTACCTAATATGAGAAGAATATAATTATTGATCATAGCAAGGCCCTGGACCCCTTGGAGGTTGTCTCGCATAGTAGTTTGTGACAGGAGCAGCCTGAACTCCACGGCTATTCAATAGGCATCTGAAGTAATGCAAGCGAGGTAATGCAGTTAAGGTAATATTTCCTGAGGATATGGTCTCTCTGTTGCTCCACAAGCGCTCTATAGATAAGATAAAATGGACAACAAAACCGTGTGAGAGCACAAAACAAGATATATTTCTGCAAAATTATAATTGAAATCTATGCAAAACCAAGTTGTTTCTCTCGGACACAAATGTCATTACAGATCATCCTACAAAAAATTTGATCCCGTACAAGCAACAAACTGAGGCTTGTTTTCAAACCATTAACTCATGTCAAAAACTGCATATAGCCACAATGAAGTGATTCAATTGACCAGAAAATTTAAATGATCTCCAAAAGATCACTAATTAAGGGTGGGGAAAAGGCTTTTCAGTTGACAAATAAGCACCTCCTATTCTTTCACATAGACAGGAGGACATCTACTGTAAATTTTAAATGCAGGCTGAATTGTCTGCATCTTAATTAGAAGCTAGTGAATATATGTTGAAAAACTCCAAAATTAACTTCATTTTTTCACAACCACTCTTAATGATCATGTATTTGACTATAGACATACCTGCTGCTGCTGCTGCCCGAGGCCATATTGTTTGCTGAACAACTGAGGTATCAGCTGTCTCAGACCACATGCAAACTTCTCCTCCAAGCACTAGCTCTTGCATAGAAGTATCATTTATTCCTTCAAGTGGCTCGGCTTTGTAAACTTCATACCAAGGGACATCTAGATGGTCCAGATACCAAAATCCCTGATTGCTGAAAATGCATCTGAAACCTTTTGCAACAGCCTTTGCACAAACCCCACCACCCAACCTGCAGTAGCAGAAAGAAAAGTTCATTATTGAAAGATCGATATTGTTATCCTGGAATGATACTAAAATGGAAGTATGTAGGAACAGAAACGCACCAGTTATGCACTATAGTCCTTGGATTAAGGTTTGATGCAAATGTATTGAATGTTTCTTCCCTGTGATAATAAAATAAAGATCTGTCATATGTCTATAGAGCTAAAAATCTCTAATTTGAGGAACAAACGAAATGGATAGGAAGTCTATTTCAACAGGTCATCTTGTCACGACACGTCTGAAGACAGGAAAATCCAAGAGCAAAATCGATTTTGAAGTGTTTGGAATAATTTAATATGATGCAGATACAAACATACCAGTTGACCGGGGTCCAACCTTTTGAAATTGCTATTTCTTGAGCTCTCAATACAAAATATTGATATGCATCCTTGGTTGTCATGTTGTGATCAAGAAGCCTACAGTTGGATTGATGAGCATTTGAATAAATATATAACTTAGAAGCCAAATAATTTTCACGCTTAATTAAGGGCAGGAAACATTCAATCAGATAACAGATAAATGGAGGAACAACATATGATATACCTATATGAAAACTTACTGACAGGTCCCCTGCCTCAATACCCGGCACTTGGGTGATTCCAATATGTAAACATGACAATCATGATATATTAAGATCACCCAGAAACTAAGTACACATCAAAGCACATTTATAGGATACAATTAAACATAAAATATTTTGAAATGCAGAGAAGAACAAATCACTTTGATTATTATTTTCATCTTTTATGTAAATCAGTTAAGCTGAAGACCCTGCGACTTCAAGTTTCTGGAATAGATGGATATCGAACACTGAAAAGAAAGAAAGAAACTCGACTTTGAAAACAAATATGCTATAAACGCCTGTCAGGCATGATGCAACATGAAAACAAACCAACTTCCAGAACAAGCGTTTTTGCCTCATATGAGAAACTTTTCGTGTACAGTAGGTAAGTAACAAGTAGAGAGTGTCTAGGACTCGCTGTATTGGACTTCAACTGATCGTTTACAACTCCCGTCATCTTGTTTGTTTAAATTTTTGTACTTTCCATTTATTTCTAACGACAAAGAGCCACAGAGACCGTATGACACTCCCCTGAAGTATAAGGTGTAGGCAAAATGCTGGAAAGACATCAGACTGCAAAAATGGAAAGTACAAATATTTTTGCCTACAAACTTCCCACACCAGAGATAAATAAAGTAATATGCGCTCACATCAGAAACTTAACTACTAATAGTTCGCATGAGAATTGTCGAATAATGCCACCTTTAAGGTAAATTCTAAAGGTTTTCTATCCATGTTCTTCAAGCTATACTCTAGCAAGATATTTACATGCTCACTTTAGCAATACATAGTCACATAAAAAGTGTATAAGATGATAACGCAAATGAGTTCAAGAATGTACCATTGTTTCACATGCGATGTAGATTTCCAGCAATCTGTCAGATATTGAACCATTTAGCATTCACTAAACACCATAAGCATGAAAATTGAGAAGTGCACACAGTGTGAGCAGTTAGAAGCCAAATTTAGCATATTTCTAAAGCAAATATAAGCGATTTATATCGGTAATAAATGGTTTTTCGAAATTGAAGCTTATTGGTAATGAGCTGAATAATATCTTGTGCACGACTCTCTCAAGCTCTGGCCAGTGAAGTTAATGGCTGCTTCTTTATCAAAGTAAGAGAACTCTAACACTAAAAATGAAAAATGAGAGTTTCGGACAAATCAGTTATTATGCAATTTCCAATGACATTAGAGATTGCAAGTTTTCATTTGAATGTCAGAGGAGGGGTTTCTATATCAAGATTATTATCTGATGTCAATTTAGTCACTTCATAGGGATAACATATGAATAATATATAATGGACTTCAGAGTTTTTTGTTCCATTTAAGTTTCAATTCTTCTTCTTTCCCCTCCCTCTGTATCTTTCTTTTGTCCACTTCAGTATCAAGTGCCTAAGCATGACCAGATCAGTCAAATACACAAACACCTTGTTTCGATTAGAATTCCATAAAACTATGTGACCTAAAATGACACATCAGAAAGTCAGAAAAGGCTGTGTAATCTGCTTGCTGGTGAGGCAGCAGCAAACACCTCTTGAAAACTGAAAGTCCTGTTGCTCTAGTTATGAAAGCTTTTTGCATGAGAGTAGTTTTTTTAATCAATTAAATGGTTGCAAAATCTTAGCTTTCAATAAGAAAACCACTTGTACTGACCTGTGTTAACCTCATCACCGCCCAAGTGAAAGAGCCCGAAGGGGAAAATTTTTCTCAAGTCTGTAAAAAAGAAGAAGCATGGGTCAACAATTGAAAGAGAAGGAATGCATGCTCAAACGATTAACTAATTTCATTTTCAATTAACATAAAACATTTTACTGGTTCAGCTCAAAGCCAAGAAAATCCAACAGAGATTACTATAACTGCCATGAACTGGATTGCTGATAATATAACTGAGCTAAAACCCAGTTAATTTGCTTTATAAATCTTCAAGCATAGATATCCATGTCCTGACTGTGTTCCTCAAATAAAAAAGGTTCTAAAGATTCATGTAAACACAAAAAATTGCAGGGATGCAAAAAGTGAACTTGACGACAAGCAAAGAATGGAATAAAAGGAGCTTAACCTGTCATGATGCCAGAGATCACGTCAAAAGTAAAATTTTTTGCAACATCAAGTGGCTCTCTACAGGAAGGAGAAGGCCAAAGGTCAGGATATCCAGTTCCCCTGCAAAAATAAACCACAAGTTTAGAGTTTTAAAATGGAGAACTTGATAGAGCAAGAAAATACAACCAGTCAATTAAATTCTAAGGGAAATTGAAAGCTTAAGCATTTTCTTCATTCTCCTTTTACAAGGGATAAGAAAAAAACACATCTCTATATTAAAGATTGGTGTGATGCAAGAATCACACCTCTCATATTAAATATGACTAAGAAATGTTTGCCAAATCTGAGCTAAACCAAGAAAATTTCTTACAAAGAGAATGTCGAAAACAAAATTTGATAAGAACTGCCTTACCATGACTCTGCATGCCCAGGAACGTCTATTTCAGCCATGACATTGATACCTGCCATAAACCATGCATAGATAGTCAGAAAAGCATACACAAAAGAAGCTATAGCTAAAATTTCTGAATTGGCCTATTGAGGAAATAATTGCACTTTGTTTTTCCCATCAAACTCACTGTGTCACGCTTTCTGGTAGTTACATTCAATCACAAAAGAATAAAAAAATTGCCCATTTTGAAATGTGATCTAAAAATCCTCTCTAAAGTTTCAACAGATAAAATGATGAGACTCACCTCTCATTTTGGCAAAGCTTCATGTTATTCCATGGAAACACAAACAAAGAAAAAAAGGAATTACATGTTAGTCCAGGCAGATTGAGGAAGCATAACATTCAATAGACATGATAAAGACCCAGACATAGGCTGGGGAATTTATTTTTTCTAGGAAAGAAAAAAAGACAAATATGCATTATTTTGTTGAAAACCAAAATTTTCAAGTCATAAAACTCTAGTTTGCTTAAACCATTCATTCTATGGATTCCATTAAAGTTGAGTCCCTCGCCATTTATATAAGCTATATGAAACTTACTTAAATAAGAAAGTTATTGAATGAGCAATAGGAATCTTACTTCACAATTTCATATGCATCTTCAACTGTGTATCGTTCCCATTTTGTATATGAACCTTTCCATAAATTTGGATAGGAAGGTACTTCTAAAGGAAATGACTCCTCATCTATAATGTGCCAATGGAGGACATTCTACTGAATGTAATATCCAATATCAGATAATGACAAAATAATAAAAGGAGAAAAGAATGGTAATGTAGAAGTGCGTGCCTGAATGAATTCCAGTTGTGGAATACAAATGCAGAAGTGTGTGCCTGAATGAATTCCAGTTGTGGAATACAAAGCTCTCAAACAACAACATTACTTACAAGTTTAGCATATGACATTGATTCGATTATCTGCTTAATGACACCAATTGGTAGGTAGTGCCTTGATGTGTCTGCAAGAGTGTATTTAAGAAGGGAACTAAGAAACATTTTAATAAAAAAATTATTTTAGGTAAAGAGTTTGCAAATTGCTATCTCCCTCAACAAAAGAAATGCATCTCACCAAGCAAAAGCCCACGGTATGCAAATCTCGGTTTGTCTAGAATGTACCATGGGGCTCTGTATATTTGCACTGCTTTAGTTTCATAATCAAATGCACAAAGTTGGCTGAACGTCTGAAAGATCACAGCAAAGAAAATGAAAGGGATGGTTAGCATACACAACTCCAGCCACTCATACACTCATCATTCTTTTCGAGCAGTTAGTTCAATATTTACACTCAATGAAATCACAAGTAGCCATGCAATAAAGATGAACTCATGATGGCAAAAATTCAACGCCGGATTTTTTTAGTAATGGCAAAGAGGTTTTCAGAGGTCAAGGTAAGCACAACAAGAGAGTAAAAGTAAACAGAGAATTTGACCTATTTGTGGTGTTTATTCTTAATGACCATGCATTTAATCTGTGTGTGGATGAATTCAAGTAAAAAATGTAGTCAGTCTCTACCTGCTTCAATTTGGATGCTCTCATGTTCCAAAACTAACCATTGGTTTTGAATTCAATTATTTGGATTAGATGAAAAAAACAAAAACAAAACAGTAAGAAATTAAGTTGTTATCATTTTTTATCATGCACTAAATCATGTTCATTCAATTTCAATTCAATAATTTAGATTTAACGAATCACTAGAACAAAGTAATCACACATACCTCCAACCCTCGCAATGCACCATACACAGTATTTGCCTGCAACAACAATAACAAGAATATCAACATCACTAGAACAAAGACATAACCATCCAGAAAATATGATCGTACATTAGTAACTTTGCATTCAGTAATGAAGTAGCTGGACTTGAGAATTAATCCCCACACCACATGTACACTACATTTGGTAGAAAAAAGTCATCTCCTTTCTTTTAATTACATTCTACCAAACGACAGTAAAACAAAACAGTGTCCTCTTCTTCAGGAAACAATCGAATAAATCACCTGGATCTCCAACGACTCACAAAAACAACTTCTCTGAAATCTCAAAATTGAAACTTTACCTCAATATACGCTTCCCCGATAATAGACTGCCCATTTCTCTTTTCCACAAGCAACAAATAACTCTCGTCCACTCCAAGTTGAAGCTGCAACAACCCCAAAACAACAACAACAAAAAAATACCCCAAATTATCAATCAGTCCCCATGATGATGATGATAATCATCATAAAAAGAGAGAAAATCTCAGTTTTATCACTCGATCTTTCATATACCCAAAACCCATTTCCCAAACAGTCCCGGACATCAAAAAGTCTCAAACTTACCTCCTCATTATCAGAAAGAACAACAATCTTCAAAACCCCAATATCAAAAACCAATCTTTTATTAACAGAGTAACTCTTACTGCTGTGCTTGAATATAATCTTTTTATATCTACCAAACCCATCTTTAATAATACTCGAATCCCCTCCTTTGCCACCAAGAACTAGCGACAGTTCCGGGTCAACGGAGAGAGTGCTATTTCCAGAACTGAATTTCGCCGGCAAAGGCCACACATAGGTGAGATTGTCATCCCATTCAGCTGATGAATACAGCAGAAACGTACAGATTGTGAAGAGAAGCAGTAGATATGATTTCATGATAACTCACACGGTCACCAGAGAGAGCAGGTGATGATGATGAGGAGGAGGAGGAGTGGACAAATGGAGTGGTTGGTGCGTAATGATATTGGGTTTTTCTTTCTTTCCACTCTGATTAGGCGAGCTCATTTTTTGTTACCGAAAGATAAACAGTGCTCATGCTCCAGTAACTTTTGTTACGGGAATGAGAAAGCTTTTACGTAAAATTCATTATTGTTATTTCATACTCAGTGATGAAGTCACCAAGTTGTTGTGGATAATTCCTCTCTTCATACCGTTGAGTGGATTGCTTGCAAGGTAGGCTGCTGATATCATATACTTTGAGGGAAGAATATGGGTCAAAATGATTGCATTTACTGTTTTTTCTTTTTCTAAAAATTTCAAGATAGCTCGGCTGTAGCTTACTTCCATGTCCTAGCGCCGGTCCACCCCCGAAGAAAACCGCTAATAGTGTGTTGTTAATTGTTTTTTAAAATTATTTTTATTTAAAAAATATTTTTGATATTAATATATTAAAAAAAATATTTTAAAAAAAATTAAAATACAAAAACAGGATAAACTCTTTAAGTAGTATTTAATATTGTGTTTTAAAAATATTTTTTAAAAAAATATTTTTTTATTTTAAATTAATATATTTTTTATAATCTTAAATTATTTGAATATAATAATATCAAAAATAATTTTTAAAAATTATAATTTTAATATATTTTAACATAAAAAATCCTTAAAAAAGTTATTACTATCATATTCCAAGCATCAATTTGATAAATATCTCATTGCTGCGGGGAAAGTTAATCTTAGTGGTGGGGATAGGGATGGTGGCTCCCGCTTCTTGAAAATAATAATTATTATAATATGTTCCCATAAAATTAGTAAAATTTAAATTTTAAGGTTAAAAATAGTTAAACTTCATCTTTTCATCCTCCAAGTTTTTTTTTCTATTTTTGACCTGAAAATAACTCCTGGCTAATGACATTACCACATGGAAATGGTAATCAACAACAACATTTGTCGAGCTATATAAATATATATAATAATATTTGTTTCTGTGATGTCAATATATTTTTTTAAAATTGAAAATTTTTATTTGTTGTAATTTTTTTGTTTTTTAATTATTTTAATAAGATAATATTAAAAATTAATTTTAAAAAAATAAAAAATATTATTTTAATATATCTTTAAATAAAAAATATTTTAAAACTTCATCCCTACAACTGCAGTACTATATATTATCATAATATACTGTTGAGTTATCTCATCTCATCTAATATTTGCCGGACAAGATGGAAATAAATTTTACATGATCAATAATGCATAATTGTATGTAAACTTAAACATATCATGTCAAAATATTAATATTTATCATTCAGATTCTAAAATTGCTTAAAAATAGGTCTATGGAGTCTATAATTAAAATCCAAAAACAGTGAAAAAATATATTAAAAATATATTAAATCACATCAATGTGCGTGTATCAGACTCTTTGTTGTGGTTTTATATTATTTTTACTATTTAATTTTTTTCTCATGCCTGTATTTTTAATTTATATAAATACTACATACAACTAAAATTAAAATAATTATATTAAAATTCAACAAATTATTAAATTTGATCTTTGCTGTTATTTTTATTATAGGGGATTCATGGTTACTTTCTTATATTATCTTTGATTCCGCATAGAAAAGAATTCATATTTTTTGACGAACTCTATTGGTATAAAAAAATGACATTTTAATTAGAAGATAAAATAAAAATTTGTATTCCTGTCTGTCTTTTTATATTTGTCTCATACTTGCATATATCTTGTGTGTGTATATGAGGGCGATTCATAATTGATTCCATTTAAATTATATATATATATATATATAAAAAAAAAATTGTACTCTAGCCTGTCTTTTTATATCTGTTTCGTGTTTGCATGTATGTTGTGTATGAGTGAGATTCATGATTGGTTCTATTCAAATTTTATTTATACATAAATTATTGATTTTTTATATACACCCACATGCACATAAAATATTAGTATAAAAATAATGACAAGTTAAAAGTGGTATTTGAAAATGTAGTAATAATTATTTTTTAAAAATATTTTTTATTTAAAATATATAAAAACAAAATTTTTTTATTTTTTAAAAAATATTTTTGACATCCGAACATTAAAATAATATAAAAATTTACAAAATATTAATTTAAAATAAAAAATAATTTTTTTAAATTTTTTTAAAAAATATATAAAAACAAACAGCTCCAACATCGCTGAAAGGAAAAAAAAATCAAGAAATAGATTGACAAAATCGTATCAATTTCAATCCTACAATCTAAGAATGGGAAGCTATGAGAATCCATAGGCAGATAATGATATAAAATATTAAATAACGCCCATCATGCGCAGGTGCATAAATAATTCAGAAAATATATTCAAAGCAGATAATTTCTGTGACTGAATATTTTACTGATTGAAGCAGTAATTAACAAAAATATGCCTCAGTTATCTACAATGAAAACCAGCTGGTTTGAATAAAACATAAAATTTAAACACTATTCTCATTGCTTTTCTCACATCATGTTTCCTCAAAACAGCCCTGCACCTTATGAACCTGCCAAAAGAGCATCTACTTATTCCCTCCCATATATCCATAGACATGCATATAAAGAGAGAACGTCTTAACCATCGAGCAAATCCCACTAGGGGAAACAGATAGCTTCACTTGGGACAACCTTGCATGGTACAAAGATGACAGCAGATATGAATCATATGATCATGCTGGTTGATCTTTTCTCTGCAATTTATTAGAACGAGGGATGGCAACGGGACAGGACAATGGTGGATCATGATCTTGCTCGTTTCAAGCAATTTATATATGGCAGAGAATAGTTGCGTGTCAATGCAATTTGAAATAGCAAGGCAAACAGAAGCATTAAACCTATACTAATAAATAATTCTGGGAAAGAGGCCGTCCAGTGGCTGTAGTTTAGTGGTAAGAATTCCACGTTGTGGCCGTGGAGACCTGGGCTCGAATCCCAGCAGCCACATTTAAATACATTTTTCCTTTTTTTCTCACACTAATATACAATATTCTTTTCCTCGTCTGCTACAGCTGAAAATGTTGGATAGGAAGAGAATTTACCGGTCCACGTGCATGCTCCTCGTTTGCTTTGTAAATTAAAAGAAAAATTTATTTATTTACCCCCCGGCAAGGAAATAAACTTTACAGCTTGATGGGCTTCTCAAAACCTGAATTAATTCCTGTTGTTAGTACATTCACCAGCTTCTTTCAGAAAGTGTAAATTCCATTTGTTAAATATATCAATAAAAAGACATTCATTAAACTAATACCTCATTTGTTTAATAGAAAATAATTTTTTAATAATAATTTTTCAAATTTTTTATATTTATTTATTATTAAAAAAATAGTTAATAAAAAATATTTTTCAATAAAAAAAAATTTAATTTGATTTCTAGAAAAATATTCTCTTTTTATTCTGGACAGAAAACACTTTTTAAAAATTATAAAAACTTTAAAAATATCATTTTATTTACTGATTATATTAAATTTAACCTCAAACTTTATATTGTTGCGGGAACACGCATATATATTTGAATATTTTTTTAATTTTACCTTTTAAAATTTAATTTTTATATTAACTTTTGTTCTTATTTTTATAATTATTATTTATTTTTTTCTTATTATTTTTTAAATAAAATTTTTTATCTATCAAATTTAATCCTTATTTTTTTATTGTTACTTATTGTATTTCAAATAATTTATTAAATAATAATTATTATTATTTCAATTTATTCATCTTTTATTTATTTATTTATTAAATTTAATTTTTATTATTATTTATTTTATTTGAGATAATTTATAAAATTATATTTTTTTAATTTTATTCTCATTCAACTTTTTAATTTATAAAATTTATTACTCATTATTTTAATAAATTTTAAAAAATAAAATATTAATAAGTTATTTTTTAACTTATTTTTCATAATATAACCAAATATTGTAAAATATTTTTCAATTTATTTTTTATTATATTATCAAATATTAAAAAATAATTTATTTTCTTAAAATTTACTTTTCAAAAAAAATATTTTTTAACAAATAAACAGGGTTAAGAGTGAAAGGCATTGCCTTCCAGTAACGAAAACATATTATTCCAAAGCTCCAGAGAAGATGCTACTGCAGCTCGTTAAGCAAACATAAAACATCTCTCTCTGAATAAATAAATGCCTAATGGACATTCAAAATTTTTTGCGCATGAAAGACTCGGGATACAACACAAATATAACAATTACTGATGATAATTACTGTCATCAAGTACAAAAAAAATAAATATATTGATACTGTTTTGCTTTTCAACATGAAAACTGCAGCGCCAAAATAATCACTGAAGTAAATCTCCCTTAATTATCGAATCATGTCAAGGACCAACCAAATGGTAGCTTCAAAGTCCATCTGGGCGATCAGTCCAACTCAACCATCCACAATATCGACGGCAAGCCATCGTCAAGTGCTGATTATTTATGCTTTTTTTAACAAAACATGTCTTCACTCTACAGGTGCGGGCCAGGCAAGCCATCGAAAACAGAAAACCTGCATAATGAAAGATGTCGAGTTTTTGCAGGAATGACAGCCGTCAAATTTAGAAAACCCATGAACAAAAGAAATTCAAGATCCCAAAAAACAAAAGGGGGGGAAAAGTTATCTGAAGCAACACACAACTGCATAATTCAAAAGGCCTTTTCTTTTGCCACAATGAACATGAGCACACATATGCAGCCACTATTCTCATGTATGTCCTAAATGAGAACTGCTGTGTATGCGTGGATGGGTAAATTATGTTTAAATAATTTCAAAGAACTGACCTTACGATGAAACAGCACAAAACAACACTGGCTTCAATTTATGCATTTTGCTGTACTTGCCGATGTATTTGCACCATCCAGTCACTATAACCACTGGCACCCCCAATCTGGTCCTCCACGAGATTTGTGAGAAGAAGGTAACCTTCTCTGGGCTGCTCACCTTGTCTTACAAGATTGCAAAGCTGATAATATGAAGGATCACTATCTCTTAATTTCTTAAGTAGCCCCATTAGCTTTCTTGACATCTCAGTATCATGCTTACCGAGAGCAACCTGGTTAGCACAGAGCATAAAAGGACCAATTACGGTCTCAAAATGAAGCAGCTAGCAAATGAAGGGTCAACTATAGAACAGTTAAAAATTAATCTACAAACTAAACAGCAGCTTATTGTCCACACGCTAAATTTGGCAGACATTTTTGGATCTGCATACACACATTGAAGCTCAATTAGAACAAGGTCATGTTAGACCCTCGAACCAATGTTGAAGATCAGCAGTATCCTCTTTACACAAAATGGTAAATAATGCAAGCTTGGAATGATTGTGAAAAAAGGGCATGACGTAGCTTAAACTAAGATAGAGACAGTGCACACACCTTGGAAAACTCAACAGCAGCATCTTGTCCAAGTAAATTCATTGCTACATCAGGTGAAAACATTCTACCAAACCATACAACAAAGCGAAAACCATCATCATATACATAAAGGCCTCTGGAGTCTAAGCTCTCAGCGGTCAATGGTAACCGTTTCATGATGTTTTTGAATTCACCGACTTGTGCAGATGGCTGCATAAATTAGATGGGAGATTGACCATTAGTGCAACGTAAAAATATCATTGATCCTGCAGAATACATGAAGTACTTTTACCTTCAAAAGATATTCATCTACTCGTATCAAGCTAGGGTACAAAAGCTTCAACATTGTTTTTACAGGTAATGCCATCATAGTGAATCCTGCTGCACAGCGATCATCAAGTTGAACATCAGCATACCCTCCTCGAAGAGCCGCTGATTTACAAAGTGCCAATCCATACAGAGGCAAAAACTTCAGAGGTTCTGGATATATCATCCTGCCTCCCAAGCGATGTTGCATGGCATAGAGATTTCGGTATTCTCTAAGAGCTTTCACAATCCTCAACTGTACAGAGCTTCGTGCATCTTCCAGCTTGTGGGACAATGATTTCTCGATTGCTTCAAATTAATTAACTTTGTTAGAAGAATTATAATGCCCCCCTTATCCCAATATCTAAAATCAGAGTCATCAATGAAATATGTCCAGTTCAAACTCACCTAGCCTGGCAAACAAAGATACAATAGCACCAGTATCAGCCTGGCGATACATCTCCCCCAAATCTGCAACTACAGGCACTGCTGCTGTGTGTACTCTGATACGCCTCTCTCCACAAGAAGCAGTGTATCTTTAGACAGCTAAGAGAACTTCCATAAACCTGTTCTTTCATACTCAATAACCTTAATGTACCATATTTGACTACGAGGAAAAATATATCCAACATCTCTTTTCTCAATATTTTGACCACCTTGGATGGATCAGCAAACAGCTGAGAGAGAGAGAGAGAGGGATGGAGGGGGAAAGAGAGAGTTACTCTTGGGTGATAACAAGTGGTCAAATTAGGAAATGATAACAAAATATCCTATTGGAATTCATAGTTATAAAAAACAGATGTGCACTCCATGTGTAGATGCAAAATTAGCTTTATATAATTCTGCTCAAAAGGATACAGCAAAGCAACTTGGAAATATACTGTTTTACTTGTAAGTAATGTCTCTTCAAGTGATAACTGTGCCCCATATGCTTTGTCACAATCAACAGCTGGAAGTGCTAGTAAATCAGTGGACCTTAGCATGAAGTTTCCATGGTAGGATGTAAAACGAATACCTGTAAGCATAGAGCAATAGAAGATGGTGGGGAATCAAGTTCCTATCCATCGACAAAACCAAACAACAAAGAAGATGTATTTGTATTGTTTGTACGTGTCTGCTCTAAAAGATAGAAGATTGTATAAGAAACTTGAAAGGACAAACCTTTTCCACATCTTATGCGCATGACAGCTTCCCAAGCAGTTTCTCTTGTAAGATCTCTAGCCAACTCATGTCTCAACTTCTCTCCATGAGTGGCTGATTGGAAACTTGGATAGTAATATACCTGCCCTCCGGAGTATTTTGCTAGAGCTCCTGTAAAGGGAGATGAAATTAATTTATAAAAATTGTTAATATTTAGTCAACATTGTAACTGTTGAAAGCATCATTTAAGAACAAATGACCAGGATTACAAATCTGAAGATTCACTTTAAAATTAATTTAAAAAATGTTTCATTACATAAGCACTAGGCACTCACAGCATAGATGTAAGGCATGTAAAAAAAAACAGAAAAAACAAGACCCTCTGCATGACAAGTGTCAACCTAACTAAACAACCCATATATGCACCACACTGACTCTTCAGCGAAATAGCATAGAAACCAGAAGGTAGGGAATTAGAGAACTGTGCTAACACCAACAATGCAGAATGCCATAAATGAATTCGTCAATCTCTGTTCGCCAGAAGAGCAAAAGCTCAAATTCATTAGGCAAAAATTCTAAAACCACATCTCATACTCAAATCTAACTCCACAGAAGATTGTGTGTGTTGAATTTTTTTTTAAAAAAAAATCAGTTCTCATGCTATAAATAAATAAAAAAACCAACAGTAAACATTTTTAAAAAAGAAATTGATTGATTAGAAAAATCTAGGAGATGCAAAAGAAGTTTTGTTGGCCCCATCAAAGTACATCATATAAACAAGCAAGATTTATTTTCTTTTCATTTCATTTTTTTCTTTGGCTGATAACAAGCAATCTAAGATAGATATTGTACCTAAGGAGGCTATATCAGTGTATTTATCACCGAAGGCATACACATTAACTCCTATCTGGTACTTGGTGCATTCGGCGGCCATGTTTTTATAGAATGGATCTTCTGGAATTCTTAAAGCATGCTCTTTATCAGTTCCATAAACGCGAAGATCATCTCCACGCAACTTCAAACGGCCAACACCAAGAGATGGAATCGTGTTCTGAAATATCAACAATTTCCCACCAAGCTGGCTCTGCAGAGAAAGACGGAGGCGTTAATGAAAAATGAATGGATGACCAAAATACTTAAGTTGAGAAAGGAACAGCAAGCAGCAGTTACATTCCCAGCAACAGCAAACTAAGTGAGATCCTAATAAATATCTTATGAAGGTGACCAAAAGGAAGGTAAGCACAAATGTCTACTCAGAAACTAGTTTAAGAATCAAGGCTGACACATATTAGAGTTTTAATCAAAGTTGGTTTCTAAAATGAAAATATTTTCATCCCTGCAAAAAACCACTACATTATCTCTCCATTCATTGAACAGGAACGAAAGAAATAATATCATAAGGCCCAAAGATCATAACTGCAGTCAAGTTCGGTCAGCTCAAATCTTTGGTGAACCCCATTACCCTCAACTTGTTTTCCACCGCTTATTCAAGCAATTTCTTGCCCAATTGGAACTTGAACAGAATGTTTGAATATTAAACACCAAACCAACATATATATAAATTAAGTTATGAACCGTGAGAATAAATAACACACCATAACCATGAAAGTTGCTTTTACAGCAGGGCCAAGAGCAGACTCCACATTCACATTGTCCTGAAACATGGAGGGTAAGCTATCAAGAAAAGCTTCTACCACAGATCTTGACTCAGACAAGTTAACAAGGAGATCATCAGGCAAGGGAACAAATATGTCATCAAGATCTGAGACCACCATCATCTGAGGCTGTGTTAATGATGACTGCACCAAAAAATCTCACAGACATCAGCTAATTGTTAGTGGAAAAAAGAATAAAAAATATCAATAGCATAAGCTTTCATCTGATCACACAGCAGCTAACCTTCATGTTGTAAAAATGTATTGTGCTGTCAAAGGTGATGAACCCAACCTGCGTTCTGGGGTAGCCTGGTAACTCATCCAAACAGGACTTAATAGTTTGGGCCACAACCTGCATAGGGACATTAAGGTGAATGTACATTTTAAATTAAAGCCAAGCAAGCATACACACAAACACAGCCCAATGGTAGCCCTAGTTCTCAGGTCAGGCCTCCCTCAAAATGACCCCAAAAAGGGTGAAAAGCCAAAAATATATTTTGAATACATCAATTAGAAGAATCAATAGAAAATGGCCAATACTTATCAATCAGTCATGCTATGAAATCACTGCTTTTTAAATAGGATTCCTGCAAACCTTACTTCCACTTTTTTATACTCTTATCATTCCTCTGACAAAAACCATATCTAAATCATTCCCCATTATCATGGGCCACATATCTAAAACATTCCCCACAATTCTGACCAAAGACTTTACGAATCATATTTAAGAGAGCATGCATCAAACCACTTGAAGTGGCCATACTACACAAATTCTAGAATCCACAAAGAGGATTTAGCAGTGATCTGGAGGCTGACCGATAAATGGACTGCATAAGACTCCTCATATGCATGCATGTCATAAATGAGACAGAACAGCATCCAAATTTATTGTTTGAATTTAAAAATCGGCTGGTACAGACGCAAATTTAGTCCTCTGAGGAGAGAAGCCATGGGGCATTATCTGAGATAACTGACTTCAATAACAACACTTCTAACTTCAAGTATTAAAATGTCAATCAAAAAGAAATATAGATGCATTAGGGCATTAGCTGCAAGAGCTTACCTCAATCATACCACTTCTAACTGCAGATACTGAAACGTCCATGAGAAAGAAATATAATGGTGGCATTGGAGGCCGCACCATATACTCAGTCGGAGCAACAAACTCCACACTACCCTTTGTAAGCTCAGGTCTCTGGTCCAAATCAATTCTCCTGCCAGTGGCATCTAGCTGAGCAAAATAGTTTCCAGGAACTGAATATGAGAGTTAAACCATGTCAGCAACTACATTAGCAAAAATAAATAAATGAAGAAGCTAGAAAAAAACATGTGCAGCCAATATCAAAAATGAAAAGAAAGTGTCTCGTGCTCCAAAAGGGGGAAATAAATTTTTAAAAAATCACAAAAAGGAAGAAAAAAAACAGTTGTGAAATAGCCATTAGCCAGTGCATTTTTTTCATTTTCTGCAATTATAGCCAGTCTCCGAAGGCCAAGAAAATAAACATCAAGGAGAATGTGGCTAAGCCATAGTTAAAGAGTTCCGTATACAGAAGCATTGATGCATTATGCACGCTGGCTAGCACAGTTTTTCAATTCCCAGTCCTAGAATTCTTGGCATTTTACTTGCATACATTGAAGACATACTGCTCCCAGTAAAGGACCCCCTAAACAACATTAAAAGACAAGCAGTTGGGTGAGGTAGGCCCAAAAATAAGCTGGGAAGCTAAAAAACCCCAGGATACAAGATCAGCAATGATTGTACCAAATGAACCAAAAAAAACATAGTTTTCCTTTCACATTACAAATAAGCAGCTAAGTCGTACAAATTTTGAAACTGGTCATTCAAACAGCACATGTAGAATTCATTGCCCACAATTTATTGTCATATTCCTTGCAAAGGTGTTCTAGAAGACTAAAATCTTAAAGCATATAGATAGAACCTACATTTAGCCATCGGCAAAATCTAACAAGATACACATGGACACAAATTGCAAACAGATTCTCTCTATGGGACCCCTAACACTACCATAAATATCATATCAGTTTCCTTTAGAACATACTTGAGATTTACCTTCATTAGGCAGAGCACAGATGTTGCAACACCACTTTCTTCCAGAATCTGTAAATGTCACATAGGGATTTACATATGTGCGACATCTTCTACAACGAATAATGCCAGTTGAGACAAAATTAATTACTGGCACCTCATCCTGAATAAAGGAACAACAACAAACAAGTCAGATTAAAGGATATCAGACAAGCAATAAACAAAGCATGTCCAGATTATCAGTTGAATTCAATTTCACAGACACTAACCCCGTCAGGAGCTTCTGCAAGCGGGCAAATAACTGCTCCAAGAGGAAAATGCCACCTTGAAAGCAAAGATTGTGAACTTGGTACAGCAGACGTGGTAAGCCGAAGATATCTAGGATTGCAATTCATGGAGTATGCATCTCCCAATGAATTTGGCTCCACATCACCATCCAATGGCCTTGGCAATGCTTTTGGATCAAGCCCTGAATCAATTGATCCAGGAACAGATCCAATAGAGAGTGAGCTGAAGTCTTCTGCCAAACCTTGGATGCCACCTATAGGAGGTGCAGAGCCTGGATGTTGGATTTGATCCCTGGAATGCAATCCAAAGGGGGTGCCTACTGGTGGAGGTTGAGCAAAACCTCCTTGCTGAGGAAGAAAGGGGGGAGGTGGTGTTGGTGTGGGTGCTGCATAACTTCCCTGTTGAGCTTGAAAGGAGGTCATTGGAGAAGCTTGTGAAATTGCATTTGCCTGCTTTACATATCCTGGCAAGGATGGCTGCAAAGTGGCCCTAGCAGTGGAATAAGATGAGTCCATACGTGGGAAAGATGGCTGAAAATTCATCCTGGATGCAAAAGACGATGAATCTGATGACAATTGAGGAACATTCAAACTTGATGGAGGTGATCCCATTGGCACTACAGGTACCTGTGGCTGTGGATGAAAGGAAGCTGGAGATGGTAATTGACCTGCAGGAGACCGAAATGGTGGTTGACCAATGGGTGGAGCTTGGGTTGGTGGAGCTTGATGAACAGAGGGAAATTGCGGTGATGGATAACACTGGAAAGGGGGTCCGCTGGTGGGTGGGACATATGCTGTTGGTGAAGAAGCCACGGAAGGATCATTAAACCTAGCTGGGGGGTTGTTAGGCCTGAACCCAGAAACTTGTGATCCAGCCACAGGCCCAGATGACATAGAAAGCATCGTGTTTTGGGGATGTTGAGCAGGGGGTCTAAAGCCCGAGGCCTCTGATCCCATCACCGGGCCAGATGCTGAAAACGGTGTAACTGTAGGGGGAGCAGCAGCAAATGGTGAACCAGTCACAGGATTTTCAGTCCCCATGATTTTCAACAAAATAACTTTATCTGCCCAGGATGATTATGTTTCCATAGTTAAACCTGCCAAAACAAGTAGTCGAAGGTTGTGATAATCAAAAAAAATCACAAAAGGCGGCACAGCTAAAATGTACATGGCACTTTAGAAATGTTGAAGAACAAGCAATGCAGTTGATGAAATTGAGATGCATCAATCAAAGTCAGACAAAACCGGAAGACCAGACATCTATGCTGTGCAGCACAAGAGGCCAAGCAAAGAGTTGTTTGAAATACTGTAACCACTGCATATGGAAACAAGTGCAAATGACAAATTTTGGAATGATGATTTTGCAAAGAATTGGTTGATCCAATTTTCAAATTTATAGAGATGGATGTGAGATTTGCCTTATTTTATAAACTATAGAGAGAATTAATTAGACTTCCTTCTTTGCATTTGAGTAATTCAGACAGTTGAAAGTATAATGCTTTCTCCAATGAGCGATTCCTTAAGTCTATTGACATGAAGCTAGCAATGCTTGATAATCGTTGATTCATAGTTTACAAGTTTAGATCTGCATTTCAAATCCTGAATCCCCGAACCCCTTGAATCCTACAACCCTAAATCTAAAATAGATCATCTAAAGACTTTCCCTAAGCTGTCCAGCATCAAAAAGGGCACAGCAATCCTGCATAATATCAAATAAACACACTGCCATTAACACGACCAAACTGAAGCATGATGAAAGAGCCAGAAAAAATTATCCTATGGCATAAGAATCACTTCGACAAGCACAAAGTTTTTACTTTTTTACTAACTGTCAACTTCCACTCCACCCAAATACTCCAAATGCCACTTCTCAATATGATATTATGGTCCGTCACATCCCCAACTGAATAAATGCATAATCAATGAATCTTGCATAATCAATGAATCTTGCACCATGATTAGGGATAACGACCACTGTCAGGAAATATTAAAAGAAAAAACTATCCACATGTCCCAGAAATCAAACAATGTAGCAAGAAACAACTCACTTTAATGTATTAGATTCAAACAGCTTTTAAAGTATGAGCTCTTTATTTTCCTAGTCCCCGCCAACCAAGTTTATGTTAAATATCATAATTGTGCATTCTTGTTGCTTCCATCTCTTTACTGCAATTGTTTTACCTCTTCTCTCTTTTGCTAGATAAATGAAAAATGTTTGGGTTATCAAGAGTTCATACAAACATAACATGTTCTTGCCTTTTCCTAATGATTTCTTAGTAACCTGGCATACTTCAACATGCATCACGTGATGGGATACTCAATAGTGACTAATTAAATCAAGATATCCAGAGGTAAGATAGTAAACAAAATCTCTTTCTAACAAGGATCACGTTTCCATTAGCTACAACTTCAAGTTGGACCAGATTCTTGCAATGGAAGTCACAAATCTTGTAACTCGTGATCATGCATCAAACCTACGATCTCAAAAGCCACATTCCCATCGCCCACTTGGTTAATAATTAAAAAATAAAAATAAACACAAGGATAAGTTCTAGCAGATGAACACGCACGCCCTAATATTTGCTCAAGCTTCGTAATTCAGACCTCAATTACATCAAAAAAAAAAAAGATAATTAACGAGTCCAACTACATTAAGATACCAATAAACATATGCAATTGAAAGTTCTGCAAGAATTACATAACTTTCCTCGATTAAAAAACCAGAACAGTTTACAAATCAGAGCAAGAATTGCACGTTTCTATTTGTAATTCAATTCAAGATCACAACAATACACACTTGAAACAACAAAAACAAACTAATAAATTGCTATCAACGGTTAATTACTTCACATCTTTCAAAAGACCCAATAGCAACCACCTTTTCCAGTTCCACTAGAAACTTCAAAATGAAGTGACGGGAATAGAGATCCTTACCGAAAAATTCAAGCGTTCGATCGCAATGGAGGACAGTTATCTCGATCAAGCAGGATTCAAGCACCAAATCCGCGATGCCGGAGAGGGAGAGAGAGCTTGGATCAAGAGATTGCGAGAAGGAACTCTGGATGGATCCAATAAAAAATGGGAGAGGAGAGGGAAGAGAAGCGCAGAGAAGACAAGAAGGAATTTCGAATTGAGAGAGAGAGAGGGATAAAAACACAACTCATGCGAGAGCGTGCATTCGCGATGGGAAACTGGTTTGGATTTCCGAACCCGAATCGGGTTTCCAAATTTTTTCCCCGAAAAACTAAGTTTTTTAGCAAACTTGCAATTTAGTCCCTCACCTATCTACTAATACTTAAATCGATTCTAAAACTAGAATTCCTTTCAGTTTATTTCTCAAAGTATCAACATTCCTCCATTGAGTCACCCCATGCCCCATTCGTCGACGGCTTAAGATTGGATTGGGAACGTAATTATAGTTATTTTTTAAAAATTATTTTTTTTATATTAGTATATTAAAATAATATAAAAATATCAAAAAATAATAATTTGAAGTAAATAAAAAAATTAAATTTTTTTTTCAAAAATATTTTTAAAATATAAAAATAAATAAAACACGATATATTATTTAATAAATTTGTTAATAGACCGATTGAGGTTAGCCCAGGGTTAGTTTTTGCTTTGTGAAATCTGTGCGTACTATATATTCAGCCAGCGTAGTGCTTATAAATATATTTTTTAACGGGAGAAAAAGAAAAAAGGAGGATCGGGATTTCATTAATGTGAGAGAATTAGCCTCGTGAATCACTATATACACCTTAAGCAAGTTGTGAGAAGTAAAATGCCCACAGACTAGTCTAATGAAAACATAAAAAAAAAAAAAAGGGATACGGTCTAGAAAAAAACATCCATAGTTGGGAATATTATTTTTTAAAGTGTTTTTATTTAGAAATATATTAAATTAATATTTTTTTAATTTTAAAAAAAAATTATTCAATATTAATATACTAAAATAATCCATAAAAAAAATTATAAAATATGATTTTCACCGCCTTTTTAAACGATGCCTCATCAACCTACATCATGGGATTGGGTTCGGCCTTCATTGCTACGAATTTCACTGCCTCTTGTTACAGGTTTTTTGAGCGAATCAGGCCTGCAAATTTGGGCCGTGGACTGCACTGGAAGAAGCATGTACTCGAGTCTTCGAAAGACAAATACTGCCCACGGAGATGCTAACGAGTACCAGCTAGTCAAAGAAAAGTCCACTTCACACTCGACAATAAACAAGAAAGTCAAGAGCATATCTATGCCAGCTAATCTCACTTCACATCACCTATTATTTTAAAAATCATGTTCACCTGTTCAGTACTTTTATCTATTTTCATCTTTTCTTGTTTGAAACTGTGCTGAATATTGATTTTTAGAATATTTTTCATTAAAAAAGATATTAAAATAATATTTATTTATGATATTAAAAAATTAAAAAATTAAAATACCAAGAAAATTAATATAGAGCTAAAACAAATTGAAAAGATCTTCGGAGATAGAGTTCTTGTTTCGGCATAGTAAATAAAATTTGTGAAATAATATATCATGAAAGTCGTTTTAAGAAGTAGCACCGCTTAGAAAGTCATGGATTATATGCATACTATTCGAGAGTTACAAGGTGTCATTGACTAGTGTAAAATAAACTGATATAATTTATAATTAAAAAAACATGCAAATAAAAAACATAGAAGAAATGCTAAACTCCAATAACAATGGATATTATTAACCAAATGAGTTCAAGTACACCTTTATCGTTTTTACTTTTTAATAGTATCCATGGATAAATAAAATTAATTCTCTGGGGAAAAGGATATTGTTATTAATTAACTGCAACTAAAATGTTTAATCTTATATAGTGTAGTTTATAGTGAAAAAATTATGTATTTTTTTTATTTTAATGTATATTTTTTTATTTAATTTAGTTTGTTAAAGTTAAATTTTTTTAAATTTAATTATCAAAATTTCATGACATAGATTTCGGGTTTAACAGGTTAAAATGAATTTTTTTCTAGTTTTTTAATTAATTTTATCATTTAATTTAGTATGTTAATGTTATATTTTTTTTTTCTATTTAGTTATCAAATTTTTATGACACGGATCCTTAATTTCACATGTTAACCAAGCTAATTATAGGTTAACCCGTAAATTTTTTTCTATTCTGTTATCAAACTTTCACGACACGAATTCTGGATTTGATAAGTTAACCTGGTTAGAAGGGTTAATCACGATAATTCAGATTTTATTTATTTTTTCATTAATTTTTTTCTCTGTGCAAGTTTTTTTCCTTTTAAATTAATTTTTTTTTAGTATTTTTTTCCTTTTTTATCTTTAAATATTTTTCAAAAAATTTAGCTTGCCAGTATTGAAATTTTTCCTATCTAGTTATCAATCTTTCATGACACGGATTCCAGATTTGATGTACTAACATGGTTTAACGGGTTGACCTAGCTAGTTTATTTTTTTTTATTTTTTTATTAGTTTTTTCTTTTCTACATTTTTTTTCCTTGTTTTTTTTCTTTTTAATTAATCCTTTTTATTTAATTGAGTTCATTAATATTATTTTTTTATTTAGTTATCATACTCCATAAAATAAATCTCAGGTTTGATGGGTTCACCATATTTGGTGGGTCAACCCAATTGATTCGAATTTTTTTTCTTTTTCTTCATTTACTTTTTCCTTCCAATTTTTTCTTTTGATAATATAATCAACCCCTGGTGAAAAGGCTAAGCATTTTTTTAATGAATATTTTCCTGTTTAATTTAATTTGTTAATGTTAAATTTTTTTCTATCTAATTATCTGATTTTTATAATACAGATTTCAAGTTTAACAGGTTGACTCAAATTTTTTTCCGGTTTTTCTTTCTAGCTAATTTTTTCATTTGATTTAGCTTGTTAAGGTTAAAAAAAAATTATTTAGTTATCAAATTTTCATGACATGGATCTTGAGTTTAACAAGCTAACCAACTAGTTTTGGGTTAACCTGTATTTTTTTTTCTATTTTATTATCAAACTTCCAGAATACAAATTTCAAGTATGACATGTTAACTTATTTTGAAGGGTTAACCTAATTAATTCAAATTTTTTTCTTGATTTGTTTTTTTTCTTCATGTGATTTTTTTTCTGTTTAGAAGTTTTTTTCTCTTTCCTTTTTTATTTTTATTTTTTTTTAAATTTAGTTTGTTAATATATTTTTTTTTCTATTTTGCAATCAAACTTTTATGATACAGATCCTGAGTTTGACGAGTTAATTTAGTTAATTTAATTTTTTTAATTAGTTTTTTTCTTCATATGGGTTTTTTTCTTTGTTTTTTCTTTCTAACTGATTTTTATTTATTTATTTTGGTTTATTGATATTAATTTTTTCTATCTAGTTATTATACTCTCATGACATGAATCTCAGGTTTGACAGGTTAACTTGATTTGACAAGTTAATCTAATTAATTTATTTTTTGTCTTCATTGGTTTGCCTTCCAATTTCATATTTTAATACTATAACTACAACTAAAATATATTATTTTTTTATTATAAATTGCACCATGTAAATTCATAATGAAAGGTAAATATCTTTTAGTTATAAATTTATTTTATTATTTTTTTAATATTATTTTAATTAAAAATTAATTTTTATAATTAATTTTATTTATTTTTTATTAAATTATCACATGAGAGAATTTTATTCTACCACTCCTTAAAGCAATGATTTGCAGCGATACTTCAAATGACATGATGTTAAAAAAAAACGAAGCTAGTTTCTTGGAGTGAAGAACAGCCAATCGTGGGTCCAGGAATCTGACCCGCGCTTGCAGTGATGCTCGCGACAGAACCACCGTCGACGTCAGTAATCATTCACGAGGATATGGTCGGCTACGACCAATCTTACGTACGCTTTTCTGCCGTAACATGATTGGATCGAGCTCCGGAGTTATTTATAAAGAATATGAAAATGAAAAGCCTTGTTTCATTGCATGGAGTGCAAACAATTGGAGATTCGAGAAATGGGATTGTCTGTGTAAATTCCGTCGTGCAATCAGGGAAGAAGGCACAGTCATGATTTGGATTTTATTAGTTTCTTCATGTGACAGCTAGCAAGCTAGCTAAATGTTACGAGATCTGCTTGATTATTTATATTAACCGTGAATCATGTTAGTATATTTATCTGGTTGTTATATAATATCTCTGTCTTGTAAGAGGTGCTTGGAAGAGACTGTTATTCTTCTTTTTTTTTTTTGTTAAAATTTGAATTTTTTTGGTGTTTTTTATTATTTTAATATGCTAGTGGCAATAATAAATTTTTAAAAGTAAAAAAACATTGCAAAAAAAAAAACTTTTAAAAAATAGTTAACACACACTAAAAATACCCTATAAATCAATTGGTTAGTGCATATAATGGTAAGTGTATGTTTATTTTTGTTGTTTAGAGCCAGCTACAAAGACAAAAAACACAATAATAAAAATATAAATTTATTATTTTTATTTTTTGCCGTGAAAGGCTACACACCACAAAAAACATAAAAACAAAAAAAAAACTTTAATTAAAAAAAGTTGATGTATTCAGCTATTAGAAAGGTTGATATCATATATTATATGTCCTTTGTTTTTCTCAAAAATAGTTAATAGTTTATCAATAAGATGTTATTTTAGTAGTTAAAATATTATTATACCTCTACAAAAATAAAAATACAAGTTTGATCTTAAAACATATTTATTAGGAGAGACATATACAAATCTTAAATAAAACTAGTTTTATTTTTTAAAGATACCTAATCAAGGATAAAAAACGAAATGATCTTGATTGAGAATAAAATGTGCATAGATTTATTTATCTTCTTTCTTTCTTTCTTTCTTTCTTAAAACCCCTGTCCTATTTTTGTTGTTGTCCTTTATTTTTTTTCTTTTAATTTAACTCTTGAATTTTTTTATACTCATTTTTGTTATTATACAACAAAGTGAAAATTAGCTTAAAAATAGAGCTATTAAACCCAATTTAATATACAATCTAGATAATCAGTTTGACAATTTAATCCATGAAATTAAATTAATTAAATATATTGCCATCTCAGTATTAAAAAAAATATCATCTTGAATTCCTTTTTAAATTTTTGGTTTTTTTATGGGTTTCTATAATATGTTTTGGTTTGGTTTTTATATAATTAATTTATTTTTTATAAAATTATTATAATCTCGTGATTTAAATTATAAATTTAACATATTAAATCAGGTTGACTTGACA